TCACTTAAGAAAATATTTTCAAATTTGCCAATGATAACCTGAAAAAGAAATTCACTGACTGCAATTAATCCTGTTTTGATGAGGGAAAATTTACATATTCAGGACATCTATTCCAAGGGATGCTGATGGGAAACTGTTATCAAGCTAACCTCAGACTGAGGAAGTGAGAGACACCTGCATTCTTTCTGATGACCCAGCTCTGCAAAACACTTAAGCATATATCTGATTTTCACTGAAGTCAGTGGGATTGAAGCAAGTGCTGTGCTGAAGCAGGCTAATAAAGCCATAAGGGGAAGAGTTTTGTTTCAACTTTTAAATTCCCAGCAGTTTTGGTGTCTGGCCTTCACATCTGGGTGAGATCACTCCATTAACACTTCTTTATGATGATTTCAGTGAGTACTGCACAAGTAGCCAAGAGGGGATTCACAACACAATCCCAGCAACAGGGAGTAATAGAATACTCTGTACTTACTGCACAAGCTATGCAGATAAAGTTCCTGCAAGCCAGGGAAGTTATGACTGGGGAGAACTGGAGTACAACGGGGATGAAGAGGACTTCCTCAGTTCAGACAACCAATGATATTTTCCTACTTTTTTTTTTTTTAATCTTTACAGCTGACCCCCAGGCATTTATCTCATCAGAAAAATGGAAAGACAAGTCAAAATTGCATGGTTTAATATAGATATGTATGTACACACACATAGCAATTCATCCATGATGGGGAGAATAAACAAAAGATCTGTGCACAACTTTGGAGAGATTGTTCACATACTTTTTTTTCCCCCCCTTAGGCTTGATCACAGTTCTGTTTTTTTTAAGTTTCTTCAAAGGACCATACAAGACAGCTAAGTCTCATTCACAGAAGCCCCAGAATGCAGATTCGGTGCTGACGTAGTTAAAATACATCAGTTCTCTTTATTAGTTTCCTTTGCACATTTTCCCATTAGTACCTGACAAGATGAAGCCTCTGAAGAGCTTCAACTTTCAAGGAAGCCTATAGGAGTCAAAGGCACTCACCACGTCTCAGAGTGAATGGTTATGGCTGTGTTAAGAATGGTTGATGATGGAGAACTGGTACATTATTCCACAAGAGTTAAAGACAATTTAACATCACTATAACCAATGTTCCCCATTCAGACTAGACAATTTACTTTAAAAAGAACAGTTTTGAATAATAAAACCAATATTTGATTCAACCTAAAATAAAGTGATATAAACAGACCAAAAAAATGCAAGCGACCCTGCATGATAACATTCCTCTCCACACCCATCCCCCCCACCCCACCCCACACACACTGAAATGAAATTAGGAAAAAGATAACTGAGCAGACATGCAGTACTTGATCAATGTACATTCATAGCCTGGATAGTTGGCAACACTAATACTGCCTGTGCTAAGAGGCCTGTTACAAACATCCACTTCACAAAAGAAAGCATTCATAAGACCTTCACTTTTTGCCCTCATTCTGAGATTAGATCAGACTGATGCAACTTGACTGACTAAAGGAATATCAGAACTCCTATGCCCCTGACTCCCACAGATTTCTAGAAAAAAACTAGATAGCTCTCCATGCCATTGAAAGTGGCTAAGAAAGCTAATGAAAATAGCTCAGCATTTGGAGTCTATTCTGTTTCCTATGGCAAGCAAAAAGTTTGAGCAGCTTTAAGAAATAGCTTCCATTTGTGTGACATATCATGAATGGAATCCAAACCATGCCAAATGCCAAAAACATTCCTCATTTGGACGGAGACATATATTCAATTTGCAAAATATGAATTTAAAAAACGGGCATCAGTTGCATTTAATTTCTTGGTGGCTCAATAGAAACAACCAATTTTGCCTTGTTATGAGATGAAACACTAGACCCAAAGAGTGAGCGGGAGGGGAAATCAACCTTAAATTTTACTAAGTTGGAGGATGGGAAAATCAGTACCTTAACAACGCAGATCTCCATAGAATGGATAACAGGGTGGTGCAATAATATACATATAATTCTGAGTTTCAGGAACAGAATTTAAAGAAACAAACTCAGAAACGCTGCTGCTGGCCTAGAGATACTGTTGCTTTGTAGTGGTCATGGGGGTTACCAAATGTGCAACAGACACAAAGCATAGGCTGCCAGTGAGATATTTTAGTGTTTGGAGACAAGCGCAAGAAATCCAACTATACTGTAGTTGTTTGGGTCTAGAACTAAAAGTATTACTGGTCTCCAAAAAGGAGTGGGAGAAGTCAAGTCCAAGAAGATGAAGATAGAAAAAAAATCCAACTATAAGATGAAACAAACTAAAAAAATAAATTATATACAATTTCAAAATTAGATTTGGTCAATAAATACATCATGGAACAGACACGTCTTTAAAATAATCTTTAAATATATTACCAGGGATATTCTCCCTCATGAAAAGTCAGGTGCATTTGACTGGACCCACATTCTCTCCAGCAGCAGACTTCTCTGCATCATGCACATTTTGTCCAATCTACAAATTTCATCTGTTGCTTTTAGCTAAACATATATGATGATATTGAACTACAAAGGAATTTTGGCATAAACATTTTATACTAAGCAGGGCAGAGGATAAGACTTCAAGCTGGGGAGAGAAAGAGGACATATTACCTAGGAAATTATAAAGTTTACCCCCAAGTTAATGAAGTAAATTCAGGCCAGATCTTGATTGAATACTTTTGGCAGGTATTCTTCCTATGCCACCGCAGGGGAAGTACCAGCTGCAGGCACTTCCCTATGCTGCTGGGGAAACAAGTAACAGCAACAGCCAAAACCAAACCCCCCCACCTCCAACTGGGTCATTCCAGTCTGTAGCTGGAAAAGGTGGCCTACTCCTGTCATTGAATATAAATAGAAGTTGTTCCACTGACTTTAACAGCTGTTTCCAGGTACTCCTGTGGAAGCTCTGGTCTTGCTGAGATTGTTTCCCTCCCACTGATTGATACCCATTGGTGGCTTTGGTGCTGCCCTGTATGGAGTCCAAAGGACTGCAAAGAATTATAACAATTAGCAAAAATTATGACTGTTTATTCAAGAAAAGAAAAGAAAAAGAAATCAAGTCTTCAATTTCATGTCCAACAGATTTTGAATGCTGTATTTAATGCTTCAGAGGGAAGATTAAAAAAAACAATGCTGGAAGTGATTTCCCTTGTTTTTACTTTAAAAGGGTGGAAGATACCCTGTTTTCCTATTTCATTTGCCGTTACATGATTTCTCAGCTGCTCTATAGGTTTTCCTCACATGACTACTCCCCGCCCCCCCATGCGTACTGGCTTTTCCCAGTGTTTGATATATACTTCGGAAAACAATATATAGGTTTTGGAGTGGGACATTCATTTTCTGGGGTTTTTTGGAGAAGGGGAAAGGGACATTGTTAGGTCAACCAGGTTAATAGAACAGCAATTTCATATACACGTCGAGTGTCTCCGGAAAGGACCAATAAGACAGAAAAGAAGCTAGCTTAAGGTAGAAACCAACTCATCGTACCAAGCAAAAGGGGGAAAAAAAAGGTATACGCACAAAAAGGAGCAACATAAAGCAGACTGCAGGAGTGCCAAAACCAAAAGCAGTTTTCCATGGGGTCTTTACTGAAGTCATGTGAAACTGAAGTCAATCTCTGGGCCTAGTTTTGACTGCTGGAAACAGCAATGACTTCATTGATACCCTCCAGGTTCACACTAGCCTGAGCGAATGCTAAAAAGGGTTCATTGCATCTGCTGTATGGTTGGTTATAGCAGCATGACCTCTTAGCTGGGAGCATGCACTTCAAATGTTAGAACTGTTCTTTTGCATTTCCTACTTCGATACAAGTTTTGCCTTTGGGATTTAAAGTGTGCAGTGAAAAAGTGCGTTTGCTTACAAATAAACCCTTTTAACTATACATTTTCTGTAACAGTAACAAATCTCATGACTATCTAAACAGGGTTCAGCAGCTACTACATTTGACATAATACATAAAAAAAAAAGGTGTTCACCATTGGGAAATGCTTTTAGGTGCAATGACAGTTGCACGCAGGGCCTGAATTATACACGAGTTCTCACAATAGTGCGTACAGATACGTGAAATCTTTCTTCCAAGGAAGGATTACGTTTTTAATGCTAAATGGAAGGGGAGAAAATCCAATATGACCAAAACTGGTGTAAGGCCATGGAAAGTAACTGTCACCCAGAATCAGTAAGGAGATGCATCATTAACAGACCGTGACATCTGAGTGAGCTCTCTGGGCATGGAATGAAAAGCTGGGGATCATAAAATGGCATCATAAAACCTGACTGGAGAAGGGCAGATTTCTCCTCCCCAAAAACAGTGTTTTAAAGATATGATGCAATGATACAGTACAGCTAACCTGTGCTTCCTCCCACATCATGCCTTGTAACATAGTATATTTTCTCACAGACAACATGCAGCATTTCCCCCAAAACTCAGCTGCTGGAAATTGGGGTGCACACCACAAGCGAGGAAATATGACAATAGCAGTTTCTGCCCCTGCAGGGGGGAGAGGAAAGCTCTTTTTTTTTCTGCCTTTCAAAAACAAGGTGTGCATCTTATTTGGGGCATTCTGAGAGAGAGAAAATACAGTGTTCATGACCTGTGTATTCCTGACTTGGTATTATTGCTGTCTCAATTCATTTGTTACAAGGAAAATGACTGTGGGCTTTGCTTCAAAACAGCCATTACTGCATGTTAAATGCTGGTTTGCTCCAACTTGTCACAAAGTCCCCAGCATTCATGTCTTTAGGAAGTAAGTTTGATGTCTACATGTTGCAACTCTCTAGCCACACAGAACCTTTGAACTTCAAGTCATAGGTTCTTTACCAAAGCAAAATGGCACTAAGTTTCAAATATGGAAGAAACTCAAAAGAGCATTTTTACATACAGCAAGCTACACTTAAATAAATTAGAAACAATAATCACCACCATTATGCAGAGAGAGAGATTGCAAAAAACTATTTTCTCTACAAAAGGTCATAATGACTCTTCTAGCAACTCAATGAACAGGCTAGGTCATTTCATGTTTATTTTATTACCCCACATGAATGAAATCAATCAGTCTGAAAATTCATCTCACACAGGGCAGGAAAATAAATGTTATTTACAAGATGAAGAGATGCCCCAGAATAAATTTAAAATGTACAGATTTATAATGGGAACCAAGGGGGAAAGGAGAAGACAAAAACAAGAACAAGGACTTTGCCTTTAAAAACAACATTCCCATCAAACTTTGACTTTCAACTACAGAAGAGATGCATGGCTCCAGCATGAATGGGGCTTTCACACTATTAAATAATGGCATCTTTGAAATAGAACATTTCACGATTTAAATACATTAATTAACTCTAAATAAATATTGCCTGCAAAGGAAGCTGCTTGGCTACCACAGCCCCCTTCTCTCCTTTCCTTGCAGGGCTCAGCCACCACCTTTCTGTTTTCTAAAATGGCAAATGATATTTAATTTTTTCCCCTCCCTTTTTAAGCACTTGATCCAGAGTCAACAGGAATCTTCCCCTTGAATTCAGCGGGCCTCAGACTGGATGTAGTTTGGAGCATGGGGATATTTCTTCTTTAGTATTTATACAGTCCCTTCAAAGGGCAAAAATAGAATGCAGCTTTCTGGTTTGTAGCTTACAGATGATCCCTATACACCACTCTCTACTTATAAAATGAAAGACTGAAAATGAACCACAGTGTATGTGATGAGTTGACTATGAGCCCAATATTGTTCCCATCAAGGTAATTGTGAATTTTGCAGCTCACTTCACTAGGGACAATTCAAATTCTATTACAGGACTTAGATGCCACATTATTTTACCCCACTGTTCATGAATAATCCTGTAAGGCAGCAAAAAACAACAGTGCATCTGCATTACTGGGATCTTTTTGACAAGGACTTTGCTTGCCCATTCCCTCTAGCTGGCTTTCCTGAGGGGAAGAGTAATAAAGTGCTCAAATAAGTGGGTCAAGGAAGGGAAGGCCACTTGATCCAGAAGAAGCCCAGAGGGCAGTCAGAACCAGAGTGACACATCAAAGCGTAATGTATGACTGAAAATTGCTTCCCAATGAGCTGGATTATTTCATGTGCAATCTGACATGGATAGGCATGATGCGATGCAAGTGGCAGAATTGGAAGGAAGAACCTAAACTGAACCTGATTTTAAGAAAAGGGGAGGGTGCGGGGCCTTGTGGGGCCATCTAGAAACCCCATGATAATCCAAATCCACCTCTGTCCTTAAATCTACCCCCATACTTTTGCATTTCTTGCAAAATCCCAAATGGAATCTTAACTTGGATGGAAGTGGAAAGGCTTTGCTAAGCAATAGGTCTTTCTTCGTCCCTCCTCAAATGCGAGACTGAGACCAGCTTCATTCCAAGACAAACAGGAAGAGCATTTCATGTCAGTATGTAGGCTCTAAAAAAGTGGCTCTACAAGGACTTCAGTTCTGTTTTCCTCCCCACACTGTCTGAGGATAAAATTTAACTTAATCTCCAAGTGTGGTATTCCTGCCACAAGGATTATTCAGGTACCTATAATTCCATGTATTAAACTGGTGGAAGAGATGCAGAGCTAGCTTCTGCTAGGTAGGTGGACTTATGCCTGAAATGAACTAAGGCTTTAAAAATCAAGGGGGCAAAAGGACAGATGCAGAAAGATTACAGAAGGTCTTGTGCAGGCAGAGAATGTAAAGTCTTTTTTCTTGCTCCTGTAAAAGTAGAGCATCTCATTTACTCATGAGACTCTCAGAGAAAGTGCATTATTCCTCATGTACAAATGGAGTTTTCCTGGTTCACACTGAAAAAGATTGTCCCCTGTCATAAACAGGTCAGAGGCAGGTCCCTAGAAATTTCAGACTTCTTGGCAGTATTTACTTTTAGTCAAACTCTAAACCCTAACGGGCACCTTGGAGAGGGAATACCACATTGCTGCAGCACATGCACAGGACCATCTCAATGTTACGTGTGAATACTTCCATCCACAAGGTGGAAAAAGCAACTAATTTACTGAAAAAGAATTTTTCTTCCTATAAGGAAAGACAATCAAAAAGCACAGCTCCTTTGGGATATGGTCTTATTCATCACAATTCACACCAGTTGGGTGGTCCTAGAGAGAACTTGAGGGCTAAGGCACACTATTTGACAGGGGTGGCAGAATGCTTTCATACACAAGAGGTACTCTTTGGGCAATGGGGGTATCTACCTGGATATAAAAATATTGTGGATGTGTTCTTCAGTGTTACTGCCACTATAACTTCAGAATGCAACTTATGGCAAAGAAGAGATGCTTACAAATCTCACAGAATCACTATTCCCTTTCATGTTCCCCTGAAAGCAGATTTTGAGGTGCTGGACCCAACCTATAGCTTTGTAATGAAGTAGGGGGCATCTGCCTAAAGTGGGAGACAATATTTCAGTGGCAAATTCTGTCCTCAGGTATTTCCTGAGTTGTGTGGGAAGATCCAAGGGCAAAATTTAACCCTTCATTTCCTGGTAGAACAACTGAGCAGTAGCAATTCCTCCCAATTTTGAGGTCTGCAACTTAGAATAATGGTTTGTTGTGACTGCTCAAATATTCTGGCTGCCCATGACGTCCACGCTGAACCCCACAAACAACAGTGATAATCCTCAGTGAGAATTTTCTTCCTTCCTTGCAGAGAAAAGCAGCACTATCAATCCCTGATCTTTATCTTTCCCACCTCAACTGTTTGCCTTCCAAGGCCTCACCTGAGCAATACCATAGTTGAGATAGTTTCAAAGTGAAAATTCTATGTGTGTGCATGCACAACCGTGATTTAACAGGTGAAATTGCAGTACTGAAGGCAATGGTGGCAATTATTCCTGGAGTTATTAGTACAACATTGGTTTAACAAACACAAAAAATATGGTTGGAAAGTGGGCAAGGCAGATTTGCTTTGCTGTCAACCATTTTAACATAATGCTGTTTGGTGTTGTTGAGGGTTTCTCTCTCTCCTGTCTGCCCCTCGACATGGGGAACAAAAACAAATATTGCAGACTGCATCTGTTTATAAAAGCATTTCTCTAAACTTTATGCTAGGCATGTGACCGTTGCAGATTTTGAGATGATGCATAATTACTTCTGGAGGCAGATTTCCTTCTTGTCGGCACTTCTTCATGTGTGATTTTTGTCCTGCTGGTTATTCATCATAGAAATGTTGTTTGTAGACCACCAATACATTGAACAATTCAGACAATACATTGCACTTTGTCCTTGTAAAGGAAGGCATCATCATCTCGAGGCCTCCCTTCATCTCTTTTCTTCAGGGTGGCCAAGTGCCACCCTAAAAAACAGTTCAATAGTTTTCCAGTGTAACCAGATCCCTTCCATCTTGTATTATTTCCCTTCCTGGTGCTTTGAATCCAATGATTTGGCCAACCAGATTGCTTCTGAGGCTTCCAAAGTGCAAAAGAGTTCAAGGCATTAACCACCTTAAGCACCAGTTAAGGCGTATTTGTTTCCAGTCTCAGCCACTGTAAACCCTGTCTAGTGTAGTGTACCAGTTCAGTCATACTACCATTCAGTGCCAGACTGCACACAGCTGTGCTGAGTTCAGCAAAAAATTCTGGAAAGAGGGGAAGGAGAAAGAAAATGTTTGGTTGGTTTTACACAGCGAATACAACCGAAGGGAAAAGAGGTGCAGTAAGTGAAATGAGAGCATAGACTTTGTTGTCAGAAACGCTTTTATCACAGACGTTTCATGAAAACACAATACTGTAGTATGGAGAAATGTAATAAGTGTACAGCCTACTTAATACCTTATAGGCTTTTTCACTCTCATGCTTTCACTCATATGCTCAAAATATAATTACATCCAAAACATTGAGGTTGCAAAATCAAGCAGCCCAAAGATTAGGAAATGCCCGATTTGAGGTTGCCTGCACAGCCTTTTATCGGACCTCTTATACATGCCTTTTGAGAACAGTGCCAAACTGACCAATCTTCACTAGGCATCTGCAAACTGGAAATTTCTTCAGGGACTTGTAAATCAGTCAATTTGGCTGAATTTTCATGACAACAAAAGGTAATGAGTCCTGTTAATTTGAAACCCAGCCAAATTTCAGCCCTTCATCCAAAGCATGGAAATATCAGAACTTCTCAAAAAAAACAGCTCTGGGATTTTTTATTTTTTTTTAACAAAGGGAAGGAAAAAAACAAAGTATATTTTCCCCAATCTCATGAGAAGACTCAAGCACTGTATTTGAAATTCTGGGAAAAAATAGCCTGAGGCAGAGGTCCAACGTGGACATTTTCAGCCTGCACAGCCTGAAAAGTTATAAGTAACCAAAGCCAAGGTCTTATAATGGGAAATACTGGGCAACCTTAAATACAAACCGCCTATAGTCAACTCTTAACCCTTTTAAATAGTGTTGGTTGGCCAGGGACTATTATGGGACCGTTCTCTTGCTGGACACCTTCAGAACACTAAACGCAACAGAGAAATCATTGGGTAAAATAATACCAATTCTAAACACTCTGTGGACCTTCTTATGCTGTGAAACTTGACTAGTGAGGGAGATGCTTTATTTTCTGTTCTCTTTAGGTCCTTTAACTGGAATAAAGGACTGGAGATGGGGGGCAGTGGTAGGTAGGGGGCATAATGTGCCCTGCTTATTTTATCTTCATTCCCATTCCCCACTCAAATTTAATATTTGAGTAGAGATCACAGACTGCTGAAATCATTTGACACCCATTTAGTTGATCGGTAATCTTAACTATTTAGGTCTGACAGGCTCCTAAAACATTATTATATCCTGAACAGTCTACATAATGGGTGTTCAATCTGTAGTTGGTGGGCCAGATCTGGCCACCTGGTGCCACATAATCTGGCCTGCAGAGAGCCTCACTGGCTGTGGTCCTGCGCACTGCATTGGATGCACAAGGCAGTGTGGGGCCTAATCCTGGTGTGCAGGGGCTGAATGGGGCCCATGGAGCCTGTTCCTAGCTGGACAGAGGAGGCATCGGGCCCTGTGCTTCCCCCACTGGCTAAGATTGGGCCCCGGGACCCTGTGCCACCCCTACTCAGCTGGGATTGAGCTGTGGCCAGGTGGAGGCAATCCAGGAACTGATCCTCACAGGCTGGACCTTATCTGACCTGCAGACCAGCCCTGCATCATTCATTTGGTCTACAGGGTCTAAACATTGGTCTACATGAATATTACTATCATTCTGTCAAGTCATTGACAGACAATTTACATATGTGATGGGATCTTAAAAAATTCTATCCCTGTTCCCCAAAATTGCGTATCCTATCATGCCAGATCTTGAACATCTGTTGCTGGGCTGCATGACATGACTATACCTTTGCCCATGTGCAGGAACAATTAAAGCTGCCATGCCACCTGATGCCAGTACAAAAAGTGAGATACAAACCAGGCACAAAGATGCGTTGAATGTGGAACATCTTTGTGGGTGTGCTGCCATTTTTATGGTTTATGTGATAAATTGGATGATGAACATGTGGCATATTACAGTTTGTTGCACGATTAACACATTAATCACACAATAAATGTAATGTCTGCCTGGGTCCCAAGGATATAACTTGTCTGGGGAGTATTTACAGTTTAGCATACTTGTGGCTTATTTCCCTCACGCTAAGAAACCAGCATTAAGTGAATTTTTAGTTTGGCCTTACTCTGTCCAAGACTTCTCTTGCACTTCTTTTCAGGTTTTACTCCATTCCTACTTCACTTTCTGGTTTATCACTGTAGATATAAACTGTACCAAAGACCTCTACACAGCTTTGTACAGAAACTTCATAGAAAATGCTGCCATGGATGCAAATGATCTAAGATGACAGCCAACGGCAGATTTAATTATTATTATTATATCCTGAACAGTACAGTACAGATCAGGGGTGCTCAACCTGCAGCCCATGGGCCAGATCTGGCTCCCTGGTTCTGTGTAATCCAGCTTGCAGGGTGCCCTGCAAGCCACGGTCCTGTGTGCTACATGGGATGTACAGGGTGATGTAGGGCCGGATTCTGGGGTGCAGGCACTGAGTGACCTATTAGGTCACCTATTTTATTTAAAGGTGACCTAAATCTAAAAATCTCTTTCTTTAAATGGTTCTAATGGCCTATGGCCTACACTACTCAATATGTTTTTACATCTTAAAAATTTAATAAACTACCTAACGCTGTTCTTTTATTCCTTCCTCAAGTCTGAACATACGTCTTTGCCCTCTGTAGCTCAAAGAGTCATTTTCTAAAACCTATGTGAATGATTATCACCTGAGCTGCTCCAGGTCCAAGAGCTTTTCCCCCTTCTGCAGCAATGTACTAACTTTAAATAAAAATGCAGCAATATAGAAGTAAAGAGCATGTCAGACAGCAGAGAACACAGTTTACAAGAGCTTGGCCTACAAACAATGACCGTCTGCAGGACTTGGGTAGTCAGGGATTTTGGGATGTCAATGCCACTGTTCTTAATATTAAAAAAAGTGAAAAAAGGTCTTGTGACAAAGAGGAAAACAGAAGTGACTCTTCATGGACCACAAATCCATGGGCTGAGAGAGTAAACCGCAAAATGCTTTGCAGGTCAACTGTAAAGGGCTAACTTAGTTTTTGGCCCTTTGAAGTTCTTTCTCCCTTTCTTTCAAAATGGTGATGTCTCTAAAGTGACCTTCTAACTGAGACAAATGTCATACAGTGGCAACAAATGTGTTTAACCAGCACATTAATGGAAACAAGATTAAAGTTACTTTAAAGAAAACCTAACAAAACAGAACAAAAAAACCCTTTAGGACAGTTTGCTGCCTCTGGTATTAGAAGTTTAAAAAAAAAAAAAAAGCTTCTCCAAACACAGTCTGAGAAGCCCAAGGGGAAATCTTACCTTTATTCTTCCTGGCTAGTGCATCAGCCTGTTCCCAAATATCATATGCATAGAGGATGTAGGAAGTGATGTTGACATAAGAGGAAGTTATGCTTGGGATATTATGCGGAACGCTGATCGAAGACCCAATGCCACTGCTGCCGCTGTTGCTTGCATTTGACCCTGGCTGGGAACTCACAGAGCTGGCAGGTGAGGGCATTGGAGAGAGAGGAGAAGGTGTGCCTGTGCTTCTGAGGAAGAGAAAAGAAAACAAAGAGAGACAAAATGAAACACTGAGGTAACACTGAAATGTCTTGCCACAAGATGCTCATATTGCCTGATTCTGGGTGGCTTGTAAGAGCATAAGTCAGAACTGTATACGTATCATACGCACCTGGCTCATGAGGGCTGAAGCATGTTCCATTATGTAAATGCATAATTGTATTTATGATTCAAGTTGCGGGGTTTTTGGTATTTGGGTTTTTTTGTTTGCTTGTTTTTACTAAGTGACATGGGATTCTGGGTACTTACCTGAGATGCCACTGAAGGGCATCAGATGGTGCTGAGCTACCATTTAAGTCCCATGGTGAACATCCAAAAGTTTCTGAAAAAGTCTCAACTTGGTTATTCAAAGGTTTTGGCTAACAAATTCCACTTCATGCAGGCATGGTCCACCCATTTTGGATTTTGGACTATTTTTATAGGTTGTTAGTATTAGGACATATCTGGCCACTACTTGGTAAATCCACTTTTAGCACAGAAGCTAGTGATGGAACAAAACTATGTCGCCACCTAGCTCATCCTCCAGAGAAGGTACCAGGTTATTTTTATGGTGTACTTTATGCTGTTCTATCCAGCCTAATTTTACATTACTCAAGTAATAGGGTTTATATTACTTACCTTGGGAGTATTCAGTCTAATAAACATTACTGTGATAGATAGCAGTTGGAGCAATTAATTTTTTGAAGCTTCTCTCAACATGTACGGTACCAGTTTTTCTGAAAGGGGAATGTAGCTGGACATCCAGCTCATGCATGCAGTTGCCAAAATTGTGTGCGCATAAAATACCATATTTACTAGGGTTGTGCAAAGCTTGGTCACTGATTTGATTCGGAGGAGATTCATCCTGATTCGGAGGTTCAGGTTCCCCCCCGTCCCCCAGATCAGCAACTGGTGCCTCCTGGGTCTGGGGGGGCACTCAGGTCCCCCTGTGGCGGATCGCCAAGCTGGGGGAGAAGGGGTCCCCCACGCACTTGACAGCAGACCCAGAAGTGGACCAGAAGTACTTCTGATCCACTGCCGAGTGTGTGGGGAACCCCCCTCCCCCCACACTCCTGTGGGACGTGCCATCCACTCCACCATCTCAGCATTCAGAAGCCACGCTTGGTACCTCAAGGTATGTAGAAAAACCATTTAAAGCTGTGTCTATGGCTGAATTGCTGATTTTCTGAATCAGAATCGAATCTTCAGATTCAGATTTGCCCGAATTGAATTGCAACAGTGATCCGAATCAGCAAATCGAATCACTGTCCCCTGAATTGGGCTGAATCTGAATCAAATACTGCCCACTTCGCACACCCCTAATATTTACTTACGATCTGTCACTTAGATGCATATTGAGCTCTTTGGGCCATATCTGATTTGCATTAGCTCAACAGCTAGCTCGTTGAAAAATTGTTCTGTGTTAATTTTTGCAGTAGCTTTTATGTTGCTTTTTGTTGCCACATTTACAGTAACTCTCAGAGCCACAGAAAAATGACCAAAAAGCATTAATAATCAGCCACACATTAATTCCTATTAAAATAAGTTCTAACAGGTGGACAAATGAGGAAAAAAGAATAAAAACAACAGCTAAAACCTAGAGCTCAACACATTACCACAAGTGATATAGCATGGCTTACAGAGAGGGTAACAGGACAATGGGAAAGGAAGATGCATCCAGAAGGAGAAAAATCCAACAGGTTTCATCTGCCCTCTGTATCCAGTCACCCAGGACAAGGATCAAAATAAGAGGGGCTCTAAAAGCTGCATACTGTACATTCTTTATTTCCCTGATCCTTTGATAAGGTAATGTTCTATATAATTTACAGCAGATATATGTTATCTCTAAGAAAAATAAATCCCTCCATGTAAGCCGAGAGGAAGGAAAGAAACAAGCAGCAGATAAATATTCCTACTTTAAGAACATTGGTTTAGCTTATTAGCCAGGAAGATATGCAGTGCACTCAGCTGCCTTGGAATAAAGTCTCAAACTCAAACATACAGGCTACTACAACTGGTTTGCATAAAAAATTAAATCATACCTTGCAACACATGGAGAAGGCGCTTGTGTGATTCTGGAAGAGCTCTGTAGCAAAGAAAGAAGCCAGTTACATTTGGGTGTGACATTGATTTACACCAGACACTCTCAGTTCTTTTCCACTGCCTATTTGGAAACTGATTAAACAATGCATTCTACCTTGAAATGGTCATTGAGGATACGGGAATACTTTATTGCAGTGTCCTTTTTGTAACGAAACATTGCCATATGCAGAATGGACTGGCAGCGCATGCTGTGAACAAAAACAAGGAGTCAGTAACGGTACATATGTTACTCCAGCAGTAATTAAATCTTGCAGAGCAGGAACACGCATGTGCGCACACATGTGCACTTTACTGTAAACTGGAGAACACTTGTACTTTCTCCCCCAGGGGTTTCATAAATAGCCTCTGAGAAGATCACCTCAGGAAAAAAAAAGGTATAGTATAAGACTATAGGTCATGCCTGCAGTATCATGGGAAATAATGCACAACTTCCAACAGGTGCTACTGGCCTAACATGCTCTATATCTAGAGCTGTTTTGAGCATGTTCAATTATGGTTTTGATTATGCAGCTCAAAAATCTGCACCAGCCACATGACATTCTACCTTCTATTTAAATAATTATGATTTCTTGACTCCTGCTATTTCCAGTTAGCTTAAAAAATTGTAAGAGCTGACTTGACCATTTTTTTCCACAGAAGCACAATTTCAGTTGAGCTTAACCCTTCATCCCACTAAACAAAAAGTTTTTCAATTAATCTGTTTTAGCTACAAAAACAAGCAGTGGAGAAAAAAGCCACTTACCATAAAACAGCAAAGATTTTTTCATGTGCAGATGCTGAGGAGTCCGTAAAGGATTTTAATGTCATTATAAATCTATAAGGAACCAAAATGAAAGCTATGCTCAGCAACTAAGGAAGTGCAGTTCCTAAATCCATAGATACAGCACATTTGTGACAAGCTGGTGGAGCCCATTGGATCAGACACAAAACCAGGAAATCAGGGGTATTCCCAGCCCTCCACCTGACTCATTGTCTGACCTTCAGCTGGTAACATCACCCCTCTGTGATTACTTCTTCATCTGTAAAATTAAGAGATACCTATCATACTTTTCTTACTTCACTAAGGCCCTTAATTCAGTGGGACAGGATAAGTTATGGTTATCAATGTTCAAGACGGGATATCTACCACACTTAGTTGAACTACTGTGTGAGCTCTATCATAATCAAGTCAGCTACAGAAGCTGCAAAAGTAACGTAAGAGTGTTTTGCAAAGTGCATACTATCACCATCATCTATTCAGCACTCTAGCAAAGATAGCAATGAGAAAGTACTACTGGAAGGCTTTATAGGAGGGCCTCCATTATTAGCAGACAATATAATTAATTGCCTCAGTTAACTGCCTGAGGTACTACAGGATTCGGTCAATAGATTACATACAGCAAGAGATGACTGGGCTCTCAATATCTCAAAAACAAAACAATGACCATAGCAAAAAACAAAAAACAAGCCTGGGAGAAGGAAAAGAGCCTGAGTGAGTTAAAGAATCAAAGTTCAGTCATTAATTGATATAACTCATGTAAATCAGATACTCAAAGGATATTAGTCATGATAAACTTATAAAGCATCGGGAAGAATAGAGAGGTCAACTTTGAGGGGAAAAAACAGACTTTATATGACATATTTATGACTTCAAAAGCTGGACCTTGGAGAGACGAGAAACATTTCAAATGCAGTAGCATCAAAAGATATTGAGAATTCCATAAAAAGAAATCTAACAACTGGGGTTGGAGAAGACTGGAGGGATACGAGGCCTTAACACCGTTAGGAGAAAAACGTTATTTTTTTGGACAAATGATTAAAGTAGAAGGGGACCACTGAGAGAACACCAAGCATTCAAGGAGGTATAGAAGGAAGAATGAGTGAAAGAGCACGAAGAGCAGGGATAAAGGGCATAAAGAACCAGATGAAACTGGAGAAATCAGCCTGCTGATCTTGTGGCATATGGAAAGACAACTGTTTACTGTGCCACCAACCTTCAAATCTAGGATAGCTTAAGTTATAATAATAAATTAAAGGGACCAGCCCTGTAACTGCGCCACAGAGAGGAATTCCATTATCTTTAACAGGTGTTTCATACATGGGGTTGCTTCAGAAGGGTGTATGAAAACTGTTCCTGGCCTTACTTGTGTTCTATTGAAACTAGATATCATATAGATGAGATATGGGAACAGAAGGCCAAAGTGAAGAACAGAAGGAAATTTGGAAAGGAGGAAGAAAGGAATACAGCAGATGAAATTTTTATTCAGTAGTGTGGCCAAAATAAAGATGGCTGTGAAAAAAATTGTGTTTTTTTACCTCAATTCCTAGTTTTCAAGGGAAACCAGGAAAACCCAAAGCTTTTTTAACATATTTTTCAATTTTTCATAAAAACCAAGAAACTACTTTAACAAAAATGTTATAACAAAGAAAAAAAATGGCCTCTTCAACCAGCTTCAAGGAAAGAAGCTGAATTAAGTCTGGGAAATATTCACCTAACACTGACATTCTATATCTGGATAAAGTGATATGTGACTTCTTTCTTTTATGTACAAGTTTTCAACTTGTCTTGTCCAGATAGCCCACATCCATCATAAGGAGAGTCTCATGTAACAGAGTCTCTTGTAAAAAATAAGAAATGGAGCTTTGCTGTGAAAACCTCCTACAGACATGTCAGTAGGAAAATATATAAAAGAAATTGACTCAACTTTTTTCCAATTCAACTGCAAAGATTTTGTACGGAGCTACACAACTTTCCTTGGATTACTCCTTTACAAATTAATTAATCAAACTGTTATCTAAGAAAGATGAGGGAGTATCTTCCTTGCTCCTGTTCTCATCTACATTTTAAAGGTATCAAGACTGAAATGCAAGCCAAATTCCAAGGTGTATTGAGATTGTGAGCTCTTTGGACAGTCTTCTTTGGACAACACACAGTGACATGGGGTTCTGGTCCCATGACAGGGAGGCTTGTAGGTGCTACTACAATCCAACAATACAAATAAATAATAGCAAAACAAAAACATGCATTACTGCTGTAGTGTTACACTTACTTGACGAGATCTATGGTCTCCGTGAAGATGGTATAAGCTGATTTTGGAGTTAATGCATCAGATTCCATGGCAATTCCATACTCAATGAAGGAAAGGGCAGCATCCAAGTACTGAAATGCCTTTCCAACCTTGTCTGTCTGTTCAGAAGAAGGTGTGCATTGTTAGGCTACAAATGGAGCTCTTTTTTCTCAACTCACCTGTTGCCATATCCATTCCTTCTCTTTGCTTAATTATGCATGGCTTGAGAGAGAGGAGTAAGTCTGGGGGGATTTTTCAGAATATGAAGCAGAGACTTCCAACTTTGGCCTGAGTGACAGTCTCTGACAGCTCTGGGGCAAATGGTTTCCCCATCTTCTCTCCCATGGGAAGATCTTCCAAATAATAGGCCTCAACTTGTAGTCTTTCCAGTGAGGAACCTTGCATATCACTGCCATTAGACTGGAGCACATGGCTATAAACCTCTCTATTCCCATTGTCTTGCCATACTTACAGGACAGAGTCCTCTAGGTCCCTCATGAAAGCATATGTTGCATGACACATACCACTGGCGTCATCTCTCTTCGGCTTTACAATTCTCAGGCTGCATCCCAGGAGAGGGGAGAATATGCCCACTTTCTATCAAACTACACTTGGTACTGGTACCAACAAGCTACTACTCTGTATTTCTGTGGTTACTGACAGATTAGGAGGAGCTGTTTTAAGTCACTTTAAACAGGCATGGTGTCCATCTGCCCACAGGGACATAAGGTAGGGAGAACAGGTGTAGCCCAGTTACCTCTCACACTGTTTGGTGAACTTATCTGTCACAGGCTCAGAGGGTACAGGATAGGGGATAGAGCACTCTAGAATAGATTAGGGGTGCTCAAGCTCCAGCCCAAGGGCCAAACGTGGCCCATGGAACCATTGCATCTGGCCTGCAGGGATCCCCATGGGTCGAGAAATTTTGCAGCAGGGAAGCGGTGGCTATTAATATGGCCACCCTCCACCCTGCCAAATCCCCAAATCCCATTCCCTGCATGGCGAGTGAGAACCAAGCTATGACCCCCACCTCCCCTTGTGGGGCTGGGCCAAACCAAATTCCCTCTGTGGAGCTGGACTGGGGCCTGGCCATGCCCCCTTCCCTCTCCATGGGGCGAGGTCAAGCTCCTTTCCCTGCAGGGCTGTGTTTAGGCCAGCCTGCACCCAACTCCCTCCATGCGGCCAGGCAATGTCCACCTGGATGACAGATTGCGAGCACCAGCTGTATCCAGCCCAGGGACAGACCAGGCACTGCCAATCTGGGCCACCAGGCAAAAATGTTGGGCACCACTGTTCTAGATCTATTCAGTTCAATGCTCCCCCTATAGCATCCACTTCTGCCACTGTTGGAGGCAGGATACTAGTTTAGATGGACCACTGGTCCGACCCAGGATGGGACTTCTTATGTCCTTAGGTAGTTGCGCATTTGTCATTGTTTTCCCAAAGCCTAACCATTCTCTGAGCTTGAGAAAGTCCATCTCCTTCAGATGCCCTTTGCAGAATCTCTCCCAAAGTCATCCCACCTCCCATATCACTTTCTGACAACTGACTCTCCCTTTCCCCAGAAGGGTTTTCTAACTCCTGAGTACTTTTCTAATCTCAAGGCTCTCTGTTTCGTCAAAGTAAGGCTTGTAACTTGCATGAGACAGAATGCAAGGTCCTCAAAGCTAGCAGCTTGCCCCATCATCTTTCCAAGGTATGCCAGAATCATCTTGTCCAGAAGCCACTGGGCTGATTTTCCACACTCTTCCCCAAAAATAAAAATACCATCTGTCAATTTTAGGTTATAAATATTGAGGTTACAAATCAATCTAGGTTCGTAACTGAAAAGAATGCTGAAGCTTGTAAAGTGAGAACAAATTACTTGGATCTAATGCTTTAAAAAAAAGCAGCTCCAGAGATGGAAAAAACTTAAGCTCTTGAATTCTGCAAACATTACTCTTAATGTGATTGTATTCATAGCAAAAAGGAAAAATCCTGAAGACAAAACAAGACAAAACAAAAAAACAAAAACAAACAAAAAAACAAAAAACAAAAAAAAGAAAAACCATGTTATTAAACAAAACACCTCTTTGAGAAAGTGTGGTGGCCACTGTTTCCAGAGTTCAAATCCTGCAAAGCTCTGCTTGACCTGGTACTGGCAACCAGGGATGACCTAATCAGCGACTTAACAATTGAAGGGAAGCTGGGCGATAGCGACCATGAGCTGATCCTTCATCATCTGCCGAAAAGCTGTCAAGTAGGTCAGCAGTACAGAGGTCCTCGACTTCAGGAGGGCTCACTTTGACAAGCTCAGGAGACTTGTTGGTGAGGCCCTAAGGGACCATGACCCCAAAGGGAGGGGAGTCCAGGAAGAGTGGTTGCTCCTCAAGGAAGCGATCCTAGGTGCACAAGCTAAGGCTATTCCATCTTGGAGGAAAGGTAGGAGGGCACAGCAGCCCCCCTTGGCTTTCCAGGGAACTGGCAGTCCTCCTGCATCTAAAAAGACAGACCTACAAAGGATGGAGGATGGGACCCACCTCCAAGGAGGTATACTCTGCACTGATCCGCACCTGAAGGGAGCAAATCAGGAAAGCCAAGGCTGCGATGGAACTCCAACTGGCCACAAGTAGCAAGGACAATAAAAAGTCCTTTTTTTTAGATATGTGGGGAGCTGGAGGAAAAGCAAGGGCAACACTGGACCCCTGCTAAACCAAAAGGGAGAACTGATGACCGACGCCCAGGAAAAACCCAACTTGCTAAATGGGTACTTCGCGTCAGTCTTTCACAAGTCCCATGGGACATCCCTGCCCATTACAGGACAGGGACGCCTAAGCAAGGGTTGTTCCTTGCCCTCTATCAATGCTGACCTTGTGAAGGAACAGCTTGAGAGGCTCAACACCTTCAAGTCAGCCGGCCCTGACAATTTACACCCCAGAGTACTTAAGGAGCTGGCTAGCATCATAGCTCAGCCCCTGGCATGGATCTTCGAGAGTTCCTGGCGCCCTGGTGAAGTGCCCGATAATTAGAAGAAGGTCAATGTGGTGCCTATCTTCTAGAAAGAGAGGAAAGTGGATCTGGCAAACTACAGGCCCATCAGCCTGACCTCTATCCTGGGGAAGGTCTTAGAAAAAATCATCAAGGAGGCCATTCTTAACAGACTGGCTGATGGCAACACCCTGAGGGACAGTCAGCATGGGTTTGTTGCGGGTAGGTCATGCTTGACCAATCTCATTTCCTTTTACGACCAGGTGATCTATCACCTGGACAAGGGGGAAGAGAGTGAAGTCATATACCTTGACTTTAAAAAAGCCTTCGATCTGGTATCCCGTGATCACCTTTTAGTAAAACTGGCCAACTGTGGCCTCAGGTCCACCATGATCTGCTGGCTGGGGAAATGGCTCCAGGGTCAGACACAGAGGGTGGTGCTTGATGGAAGTTAATCGTCATGGTGCCCTGTGACCAGTGGGGTCCCTCAAGGCTCTGTCCTTAGACCTATTTTGTTCAACCTCTTCATTAACAATGTGGACACTGGAGTCAGAAGCGGCCTGGCCAAGTTTGCCGATGATACCAAACTTTCGGGTAAAGCACCCACACCTGAGGACCGGGGGTAATCCAGGCTGACCTTGACAGGCTCAGGAAATGGGCAGACAAGAACCTAATGGTGTTTAACAGCGAAAAATGCAAGGTTCTCCACCTTGGGAGGAAAAACCCACAGCATGTCTATAGGCTCGGCAGTGCTACGCTGACTAGCACTACAGACAAGAGGGACTTGGGGGTCAGGACTGACCACAAAATGAACATGAGCCTTCAATGTGATGCTGCAGCCAGTAAAGTGAGCAAAATGCTGCTTGCATCCATAGATGCTTCTCAAGCAAATCCCAGGACATCATTCTCCCGTTGTACTTGGCCTTTGTGAGGACAGAGCTGGAGTACTGTGTCCAGTTTTGGGCTTCACAATTCAAAAAGGATGTGGAGAAGCTTGAGAGAGTGAAGAGGAGAGCCAAGTGCATGATCAGAGGTCAGAAAACAGACCTTATGATGAGAGGCTGAGAGCCATGGGGCTCTTTAGCCTGGAAAAGCGCAGGCTCAGGAGCGACCTGATGGCCACCTATAAGTTTATCAGGGGTGTTCACCAGGACCTGGGGGAACGTTTGTTCACCATAGTGCCCCAAGGGATTACAAAGTCAAACGGTTACAAACTCCTGCAAAACCATTTCAGGCTGGACATGAGGAAGAACTTCTTTACTGTCCGAGCCCCCAAGGAATGGTTTGGAATGGTCTGCTGCCGGAGGCGGTTCAAGCACCTACTTTGAATGCCTTCAAGAGAAACCTGGATGTTTTTCTTGCTGGGATCCTGTGACCCCTGCTGACTTCCTGCCCCTGGGGCAGGGGGCTGGACTCGATCTTCCAAGGTCTCTTCCAGCCCTAATGTCTGTGAAATCTATGAAATCACTAGCAATAAAATTATAATAAAGATCCTGAAATTTCAAAGAGCAGACTCTTTAAACATACTGTCCAATCCAATCTGAGGTTTAGTAATGGCACACATAACAAATGCAGCTGTTTATGCTATAGAAGATACAAAGTGGTGGGCTCATTTCCTAAGTTTATTTAAATGACTGGACATGGTTCAAACTTGAATGGACACTTGGGACCACTTCATTTATCTGCCAACAATACTTACAGGAACATGAAAAAGATCTGTTTGTAAGTTTCTGACCTGAATGTAACAACTGAATTTAATGCAGGATTAGTCTATTTTGAAACACTTTGATCCTGGGAAATTGGATTTCCTCAGACAATCTAGCACCAGTAGCTACACATAGGAAGAACACTGAGATTATGACTCTCTTTTTTGTGAATTAGGACACTATGAAGCCAAAGGTTCATTTAGAATATTCTTTAATATTTCCAGAATATGGCCAGGACTTACCATTGCATCAGCTTTGTGCTTCAACCTTTTGGCCTCCTCTATGTGATATTCCATTGGATGTGGTCTGAATTGGGGATGGAGGAGAGGAGAAAGAAGGACAAAATTAAAGGAAGGGGCAATTAGTAATGTTACTCTCCTTCAAAGAGGATGCTGTTATTGGTGTGTGGGCTTCTGTTATGATTCTATATGTATTAAAATGATGATAATCTTTACATAAATGGTAATTTCCCAATACACAGAAGTAATTAAACCTCTGCTCTAAGGACCTTACAATCAAAATCTAATACAAATAAAATGGCAGGAAGTGAGAGCCAAGATGTACGTGGGGGGCAACACCATGGAAAGTCTAGAAAGGGGAAGCTGGAAACCATGCGTCTCACATAAAAGTCAAGCACCTCAGAGGATAGAAAGGTGACAAGACCTGGCTGGAGCAAGGAAGACGTTAAAAAAAATTCCCTTACTTTTCAATCTTTACTTGAGGTCTCCTTGGCTTGGAGGTACCATTTGGCAAAGAAGGCACTGAGAAAGGATTTGTGGTGTCCCTTGCAGATCCCTGGAAAATTACCACCATGAAAAAGAGGAAACTGGTCAGGTAGCTGTGATCAGACATTTCAAAAGCTTTGACTTCCCAAATTAAATAATGTTTAATTAATCCCAGAACATATTTTCTTCACTCTCCCTATTTTTTTTAACCAGTGATGAGGAAACTTGGTTTAATACAGGACTGCTGAACACCATTTGGTATTTTCTGCAGGGTGGAAAAACAAAGTAGCAGGTTTTCCTCAATACTGAAACTAGGATTGCGTTTAGCAAGACAATGACCTAGTGAGCTAAGGCAGCACCAAGGCTACTAACAATACTTTTCCTGGCCTCTAGCAAAGCCAGGTACTAATAAGACCTATTCCAAGTGATTTAATCACACCTTCTCACTGGAGAAACATAGGGGGTGGTGGAGGGGGAAGAAGGGGGCAGCAGCTGAAATAGCAAAAGGTAAGTTACCAATGGGAATTCCAGAAAAAAAAACAGAGCTAAAATGCAAATGTAAAACTGGCTATGGAAATTCCCCAAATTTTCTGAAAATAAAATGAACCAGGACCACACACAAACAAACAGCAAGATAATTGGACTTTATAATCCAAGACTCATGAACTCTCCTGTGAAACATTAATTTTAAAAGTAATGACGATTACTACAAGTCCAGAACCTAAACGACAGCAAGACTCACTTTTAAAAGTGACCAAAAGTCTTTTTTTTTCCAGTGTACTGATTTTGGATACATAAACTGCACCCACATTACTGAAAATGAAATTGGGCAGCCTTAAAAACAGGGCCATGACTTAAAATGTGATCCTCTTACCTATCTTTTAAATCTATTCATTCTCCTTTGTATTTGATCCCTGGCTGGGTAAAAGTAGGCAGGAAAATTCATGGGTGGCATCAGGTTAAAAAACCTTAAACTTTACACAATGTCTTGGGCCTGACCCAATGCCTCCCAAAATCAGTGAAATGACTCCCCAACTTTGCATCAGGCCAGGTGAGCATCTGAGGCTGTTGAAGAGTGGAGTCTCAATCAGCATATATCCCTCCTAAAAAGGCATTTTTGTGAATTTTTCATAGTAAGGCATACTAATTAAAGACCTGTGGCAAATTAATGCTTTTTGTGAATTAGCAAGTGAAAAACATAAAAGCAAAGATGTTGCAGCATAAAGCAAACAAGTAGTATACTTCCTGAAATAATGAAGTTTCAGTAAGCAGAACTCACTCCAGGCTCCGCTTTTATACCTTTCTGGAAAGGACTAAGATTTGCGTTAGCAAGATTCTGCTACATAAGGTCATAGAAACCAGGTAATAAAAAAATGTGTTTCTAAAAGCCCATTCAGAGGGCTTCAGAATCATTGCAGTCCTTTAACATTCGAAAAGCTGAAGAGACCTGCAATGCCCCCACTGTTAGCAGGAAATCTTCTCCCATTAACAGATTTCACCTACTTTGTTGCTCTTGGAGTATTCATAATGCTTCTCCTCCACTTTCCTGTGTTTAGAGGAAGAAGGATCCTTGTAGTTGCTCTTGCTCTTGGCAGTGCTGTTGATTGTGGCAGGCAGTTGGCAACAGGCACTACTCTCATTGTTGTGCCTCTTTTGTGCCATCTTGGCTGGCTTCTGTGCAGGAGACACTGGTGGTAGTGGCGGCAGCAACAGGAAATCTCTCTTCTGAACTTCATAGGAACATTTCGATACTCTAGAGATGGGAAATGAACTTATCACTTGGGATATACTTGGTGTGTATTATAGGGTTTTTGAGAAAATTAAATTACATGGTGCAATGATTATGTTTATTCAGCTGGAGATGCTGGGCATGTGAGATGACTAACAGAATGGATCCACAAAAAGCAATAGGAAACTTTAGGGACTTTCTGGTGATACAAAGAACACACCTTCCACTGTCAACAAGATGCAGAAGATGACTTTTGAAACAGGGACAGAGAAAATTTCAGATTGGTAATTAGAGGAAAAATTTTACAAGTGAACAATTTGGAATGTAAAAGTAACACACTCCTCAAAACACAGCCATCTTCCTCCCCTTCCTTCACTCTCCAGGGATATCTATAATTAAGAGACTTGAGTCTTTATGAAAGGATGCCCTGACCAGTGCACACTCCTACTGCATGTTGCTTATTTGAAGTGATTTACTTCTCTAATTTAGCAGTATGCATATTTATCACTTGAAATCATCTCCTATTACATGAGTTGAGAGAATTAAACTGAATATTCTAAAGACTAGCCAATTAAGTTACCTCACACAAAACTGCTGAGATGGAGATTTTCATTTGAGTTTTGTTTCTCAGTAAAGTTGCCTTTTAAGTAGTTTACAAAATGCTGTGATCATCATGGCCCAGATAATCAGTAAACTCAGGCAGTTGCATGCTACTCCTACAATGCAAAGCAGTTACACATCTCACTTGGGTAAATGCTTAAGTTGGATTTGCAGCTTCTTTAAGTTGCCAAAATGGCACAAAGTGTCTAAACCAGAGATTTTCAAACAGGGTGCCAAGGCACCCTGGGGTACCTTTAGAGCTTTTCAGAGGTGTCACTCAATGTTAGCACTGTTAGGTGTCATACTTGATTCACAAGAACAACCCAACAATTTCAAATAAGAATCCATAGTGTTAAAAAAATTATAAACTAATGACCTTTGAGTTCTTTGCCATAGAGAAGTTGCTATATTCTTTTTCCATAGTCAGAAAATGAATGAAAACCAGCTAAGAGCTGGCATTTTTCTGGGGTGGCCTAAGCCCAACTAGAGGTGCCTTAAGCCTAAAAGGTTGAGAACCATTGATAGAGACTACACCCAGCTGAATCTGGCCTGGAATCCAAGCCAAACTTACATCTGCCCCAAATTAACTCCACCCTTTCAGGAGATAAAGATGTAGCCATGTCCCATGTCCTAAAGAGACACAGGTCTTTGTTAGGACAAAGAGGGAGACTAATTCCAAAATCAAAAAACTTTTCCCTAGTAAAGCTGTACACCAGAACCCAACAATTTAAATGCTGGGACCATCAGAACAAGCCTCACATCTGATACCAATTGCCCCCGTTTTTTTCGGCAGATGGGCAGTTTCCTTAGAGTGCTAGGACTGAAGCCATAAGACATTTATAGATAAAAGTCAACACCTTGAATTCAACTCAAAAGTAAATAGGAATAGAGTGCAAGCTGCTAGAGATTTGGTGCAACAGGCTCCCTGTCAATTAACCCTGCCAAGTAAGTGGGTAGTTGCATTAAGCATTAGCAATAGAATAAAAGAGCCCTACCACCATGCCATAATCTGAGTTGCTAAAGGCAGATCCAACAGGCACTTCAGTTATCATGCTGGGCACTACGGGAAAAATAAATTTTTGGTCATCAGTGCCACCAGGATTCCAGTAGTCACAGAACATTGGATAAAAGATGCACATCCTGCCTTCTTAATGAAAGGAAGGACAGACTACTCCTATACTAAAAAGCACGTCTATTCAGTGGATTAAGCATTGGCTAGAATGTGCTCCTTTAAGTACCACTAGTGACCAGGCACAGGCAGGGACGTCCCTGGGGGAGGGGCAAATCAGGGCAACTGCCCCAGTCCCCACAGAGCTGGACGGAGCAGCCGCAGCAACTCTGTGCTGCTGCTGGCTTCACATCTGGCCACTTGGCGCACCCCCACCCCCCCAGTTTCCTCGCATCTGGGGGCAAGGCCCTGCACAGGCTGATTTACCCTGGCCCCTGCACCCTGCTCCAGTCATCTCTGGGCACAGGCAAGAAAAAAAGACACTGCACCATCTGGGTCTCATTACAGCAAGAGAGTTGCTGCTCGGTCTCTCCACTGGTGACCTCATGGCTCATGTCTCCTTACTGGCTCACACATGCCAAGTGGGACACGTAGCTACTTAAAATAGATGATCAGTTACCACCACTAGCTGTGACCTAAGACAGGAAGGAGTCAGACCATGCTAAGCAGACACTGCCTTCCCACCTTGCTCTGAAGGCAAGTTGCCAGTTGATGACATCAAAGGTAGCAGCTGAATCAGATCTATCAGCATGCACACCTAATTCTTGTCCATCACTAAGAGATCATCAACAAACAAGACAAGCACAGTTGGCACTAATCAGAAGCTGCTAAAAAAATAGAAACATCAAGGAAATCAGGAGACTTGATGAGTGAGGCTTCTTCACTACACTAAACCTTCTCAAGCAGAAGGCTATGAAATCAGCTCAGCACAGCTTCCAGAGAATGAAAACAAATGCCGAGTCTGAGAGGTAGGGGACAGCACGAGAAGAGACCAAAAAAAAAAAAAAAAATCAGATAAAAGTTGGGAGAAAAAAGATATTTTTATATTTCACCCTGAAAGATCCCAAAGTGCTTGAATTATTACACAAAATAAACATATAGTTCATCTACCAAGACATTCAGCCACCTTGGGTAATAGACAGCAGCAGTTTCTTAGCAGATTGACTTTTATTAGTCAACTACACTACAACTACACTACACCACAGTTCAGAAAAGACTAAATGCCACCCTTTTTTGGAAGGAATAAGGTAAGCAGACAGGATGCAACTTCCCACACAACAGCTGCAACTGGGAAACCAGATTTGCAAAGATTCCTCAGGAATGTTAATAACTTTGAGTTGTTCAGGATCATATATTATTATTTGTACCCCATCAGAAAGATGGCAATTCCATTGAAATTACACAGGGACGTTGATTATGCACAGCTTGAGAGGGAAGAGCATCATGCCCTGAAAGGCCAGAAGAATTTCCTGCAGTAGTTCTGGGTCCCTTGAGCCATGCACTATTTAAACTTATAATGGTGGCTCTGGCTGCTGGGTGAGGGAGGGAAGTTATCCATTTCAACATGTAAACATAAAAGACCTGGTTCTGATCTCAGGCTGATGTAAATCAGTAATAATTATGCTGTCAAGGACACACTGAAGTCAGCAGTGTGTCATCAGTGAGAGAGGAAAAGTCAACCCTAGAACTTCTCTTCATGAAGGATTAGTACCATAAGGAGAGGAAAACAGGTATGCTGTCAATAGTAACTGGATCTTCAACAAAAAATGTAAATAAATGAAAGTTTCTTTAGCTGTCTTGTGGACTCCAGGCCAAAAAACATAAATTTACACCAAACGAAGTTTCGCATAACACACTGTATTACATAAACCCACAGCTGAAGGGAGGAGAGAGGAAAGAATTCCTCATCCAAATCTTTTTAAAGAAAGAACTCAGTTTCATATATTGTGTTGGCATCTTCCTTCTCTATACTCACTTCATTTTACTGGAGTCTTTGTCACGTGATGCTTGCAATGATTTGGTTTCTTTCTCCAACTTGATTTTTTTCCTACCAGTTTCTTTCTCTACGTTTCCCTGTTAACAGAAAATTCATCACTTAGGCTCTAAAAACACATGTAAAAAGCAAGCTTGTGTAGCTAAATATGATTCATTAGTCTTAAAAAAAAAAAAAAAGAAGCTGGGAATAAAAACACATAGCCCTAGAGCACATTATTAATCTAAATTTCTCCTTTGCTGAAAAGGATCCCAAATGGGATTGTCTCATTTTGCAAGATAGATTTATTTTGGTAGATGAAATAGCAATACTGAACATCTCTCATCAATCCCACTCCAGAAGAAAGCAAGTATTTTTTAACATACCCCATTGAACACTAGTATTTCAGATCTACTGGTGGTGTCTTACTTCTAATGAATATGAATCAGACAAAAGCACAGAAAGGCTGAAGCACCTTAAAATTCCTTCTGGCAAAGTCATCAATGGCAAGTGATTGTGTTTTGCGATATGTTTTGTTTGCCAAAAGGAAAAAAAAATAGCATACCTGAGAATTAAACAACACATGGATTACCCAAGGTCATTTTAACAGGAATCAGGTACAGGGGGAATTTTTTTTTTAATAGTTGGAATAATTGCTCATATGCTTCCCCCAGGAAACTACCAGCATCTCAGACAGATACACAAATATGACCAGGTAAATAAAGCATTAAAATGCATATTGTAACACCTATGGAACAAAGTATTTGTATATATTTATCAAAATCTCAGCCTAACAGGGTGAAACATTAATATTTTTAAAAAAGAAATATTGTAACATTTAAATGTATTCAAGCAACCTGACCCATAGAGATATCGGTGCCAGCACTGTGCATCCAAGAAGGCCCCTCTAAATGTTTGCCTACAGTGCAGTCTCCACAGCTCATGTTGACATGACTGAAAAAGTTCTAAACTAGTTCATCCAGGTGCTGGTATCTATGGTAGCCCAAAGCAACAGAGAGTTCAGTGCGAGTTGCAAAACTTGCCTGAGAAATGGGGTAAATTCCCAGAAAGACAGAGGCCACACTGAGATCTCTGCTGCTATGGCTACACTGCTCACAGGGTGTGTTTGACTGCAATGCAGATATAGCCTAAGAAGGTGAAATGTCACCTTGCAAAGGGCCTGATCCTGCGAGTTGCCAAGTGCACTTAAATTTATATCGTCCACAAAAGATGTCAATTTGAGATGTGTAGCATCTCAATGCCATGGAGACAAAGCAAAAAGTGCATCTCCACATAATTTTAAAATCGAATGTAATATGAAAACTTCAGCCTCCTGTGCCATAGGCACAGATGTCATTCCCCAACATGCTTGAGAATTTTTCAGCCTGTCCCAGTAGAATTGAGCAAACACCTGAAAAAGGCCAGTCTTCCCCTCTTCTACAGATTACAAGTCCTCCTCACCCTGAGGGCCTTTCTCCATTGGATAGTGCCTGTGCTGAAATCCAAATGTGGGTGCGCAACTATGACTAGCTTTCAACTAGCTGGTTGGGTACTGGTAGAATCATAGAAAGTTTGGGTTGGAAGGGACCTCAGGAGGTCATCTAGTCCACCCCCCTGGTCAAAGTAGGCCCAGCCCCAGCTAGTTCATCCCAGCCAAAGCTTTGTCCAGCCAGGTTTTGAAAACCCTCAAGGATGAAGCATCCACCATCTCTCTGGGTAACCTGTTCCCATGTTTTACTGCCCTCTTAGTGAGAAAATTCTTCCTAATACTTAACCTAAACTTCCCTTGCTGCAGCTTGAAACCATTGCTCCTTGTTCTGTCATCTGCCACTCAGAATAGCCTAGCTCCATCCTCTTTTGAACCACCCTTCAGGTAGCTGAAGGCTGCTATTATGTCTCCTCTTCTCTAGACTAAATAAGTCCAGTTTCCTCAGCCTCTCCTCATAAGTCATGTCCCCCAGCCCCCTCACCATTTTTGTCACCCTTCACTGGACTCTCTCCAATTTCTCCACATCCCTTCTGTAGTGGGGAGCTCAAAACTGAACACAGTACTCCAGATGTAGCCTCGCCACTGCTGAATAGAGGGGAATAATCACTTCCCTTGACCTGCTAGCAACACGCCTACCAATGCAGCCCAGGATGCTGTTAGCCTTCTTGGTAACTACAGCAGTGTGGCTCACAGAGCATGGAGCTCAGGATGGGTAAGCTGCCTGGGCACTTAGCCCGAGTCCTGGGAAGGTTTCACAGTCACACAGGACACCTTGCTGCTGTAGTCAGGTAGTGCTGTTTGAGCTAGTTTAGTGCTACACAGGGCACATCTCCACAGGCTACGTTTGCCCCTTTGGACTGCAGGACATAGCATCTAGTAATGCATCTCTTTGTTGGGGGGCAAGAGATGAAGGAACAGATTTAACACCCTATCACTCCCTCCCTCCTCTCTCTACAAGACAATGCCTGCTAACCTCTCTCCAGCTTTACTGCCATTTCTCATAGCCTTCCCTATTATTGTGGGCCCTCCCTCTCAAAAGAGAGTAGTCAGTCCTTCTCCAATAGAAGGAATGTGTTAACTGGCTCAGAAACAGTAGAGTTTAAAAAAGCCCTGCAACCTCATAATTCACCCTTAACTGGTGGGACAATAACAAATCCAGAGTTGTCTGAAGAGTGAGAAGCAGCCCTGGACCAAAAATAGGGACAGGACCTGAAATAGCTGCAACAAATATACTCCGCACATGTACTTCCTGTGGATATTAGAGTCAATTAACTGCACGTACCTTGCAGTCATCTGGCACTCACACATGATGCCTTACAAGAACTGGCACTCAGAGAAAGTAAGGGAACTACTGCTACGACTACTCCTACTTCAGCTGAAGGGTCTGTCCATTAGCTCATTAACTGTTCATTACTCAGGCTTCTTTAGCATAAGAGCCAGTGTTAAGCTCTATATATTTGCACGTTTCTACGGTCAGATGTAGTATTGGAAGTTAATTTTCTGTTTTTAAGTCCAAACAACAGCTAGACAAGTTCCCTGATTGTATTCAGGAACCCTTCCATCTATTACCAAAACACTCACAAGCCCTTCTTAGTGGAACACAAGTCGGGCCTATGGCCAGTCTATGCACTACTTTTTTTATAATCTTTTAAATTACAGGTGAGATTTTTTTTTAACCCCGTTACTGGTACAGCCCTGAAAGTGGATGACAATACAATACAGCTTCTTCCAGTTTGTGCAATGTAAGCACCTTCACGCTGGTACAACTGAATCTGCTCTGATGGGAATGGATGACCTAAACCAGGGGTAGGCAACGTGTTTTGGCTGGAGTGCCGAAAAAACCACGTCTACCTTGGAAAGTGCTGGAGTGCCGACACGCCGGAGCCCAGAGCAGCTGTTTGCAGCTGGCCCACAGAGTCTGGTCTACTTGCAGCTGGGCTTCCAGCCTCCCAGTTGCCTACTGGGAACAGCCTGGGCTCTGTGATTGGCAGCAGCTGATTAGGCTGGCAGTGGTGTGCCGAGCAAAATGGCCTTGCATGCCATGCTTGGCATGCGTGCCGGGGGTTGCTTACCCGACCTAAACTGTACTGGTATCAATTAAAGAGGTACAACTTGTGTAAGGCACCCCTCTCTGCTGAACTACTGAAGTTTTCACTTTAAACATCCACACAAATAGGAAAGAGGGGTGTTCTGCAGTAAATACGAAGAGCCTTACAAGGATGAATAGCACAGCACAAGGAAGCATTTCAAACACTATAGTACTTGCAGCAAAAGAGCACTTCAGCCTTCTCTACTTCCAGTACTGCTTTGTGGCTAAGTTCACTGAAAGTGGAAGCAATTTAAAAGAGGGATCAGCAGACTTGCCTGCAGGGGACATTCATAGACCTGGTTTAATGTTCTTCCAGTTTCTTTCAACATATACTGAAAAACGCCCTTTTTCAAGAGCAAAATTTGCACACATCTTTCAACTTTTGCATGACTTTTCTAAAAAAAAAAAAAGCAAAATATTAACATTTTATTGGAAAAATGATCAAATTCCTATTTGCTGAATAACTATCTGGATCCTTCTCAATTTTTACCAGGTCCGGAGGAAAATGTGAAAAAATCTCAATTCAAACTTTGTGAAATTGAAATCAATTCCAACTGTTAGTAAGTTTCTCAAGCAGTTCTGCATTCTCAGTCCACTCAATAACCTTTCCAATGTAGTGAGAAATCCCCCTATCCCAACTGTCCCCCACCTCTCACCTTCCTCTTAAGAGGCTTGTTAGGAGTTTCTGTGCTTTTCTTTTCCAAATCCCTCTTCCTTGCACTTGAGAGCGCTTTTCCCTCAAGCTTTTTCTGGTGGTTCCCCTTCCCAGGTGGTTGAGGGACCCTTGTAAGGAGAGCAAGCTCAATTTTGACAACAAGAGCATGAGGGGTTATGAAGTCTCTCAGAGGTGATAACTTCTTATCCCTGATAGGCAAAAGAAATTTGTTTCTATGAAAGTCCTCTCTCACCACAACAGTAGACTTATCACCACTAGTCCTGGTGTGAGTTGTGCTCTGGCTTTGAGCTAAGGGGCTGAGAGGGAAATGCTCTGGGGCATTGCCAGTCAAAGTATCTTTCACAGGCTTTGGGTCCAAAAATGGTTTAGAGGCTGCTTGACGTTTCTTGTGCTTTTTCTTTTCAGAGGACTCTTGGACCGTAGTCTTGGAGTCCTTTTTATCACTGGATTTTGGCCTCCCTTTCGTTTTTACTTTTGGCTTGTCCCTGGAAGACTGGTCTTTAACCTCATATGGACCAGGCTCACTTTCCACTTTCAGGCCTCCCTTGGGTTCCTCCTGCAGTGGTATCTTGCTGGGCTTCTTGGTACCAACTGTCTGCCTCTGAGAAGGCTCCTCAGCATGTGTGGGAGACTTCTGGCAATTCCGTTTGGTAGGAAGGTGGCCCTCCAGTGGAGCCCTGGCTGCTTTGCTGGAGTTTTTGGGATGAAGCTCCTTTGATCCAGAACGCTCATGAGCGGAGCTGTTGCTGCTGCTGCTGCTGCGGCTGCTCCCCTTCCCCTGACCTTTGCTTTCGAGGTGACTGTGTGAATGGACCACCTCGCTGAGGTTCTCGGTTGCTGCTGTCGGTGGGTTCACCTTGGTTAGCCAGTTGTCCAGCTGCCATTTATTTGATGTTGGTGGCTCAGGCTGTGGGGGGAAGGGGGTGGGGAGGAAAGAAAGAAAGGCTTCAGGGATCTTATTCATTTTTGCAGGCCAGATCTCCCAGATGCACTCAAAATCTATGAAGTGTTGCCCTTTCTATGAAAGGCACTGATCATGAAAGAGATTACATTCATATGTTCATACAAAACATACAATGGAGAAAAAAATCCTCTCTTTTGCACAGGGCCAATCTGACAATTCACAAAGAAATTCTAGTCCTCAATTATCTTAACTTTTCACATGAAAGTTTAGCCCAGTCTTACTCTGTAACAGAAGCACCTTTATCACCTGATGGCAGGGTGCTACTAACATAACAGAATCAAAGACAGAAACTTTACGAAGTAGCTTGGATCCATCCCTAAAGTTCTCTTGAACCTACACAAAAAGATACTTCTATCACTATCGCTCTTTTGGATGTCTAAGTATATATTTTGTATTTATAGGTTGGAATGGTGTCTCAAGTGAAATATGTGGGCCCCAAAAGTTATAAAAAACACAAACTTTGGCCATTAAATTTGTACATCAGAAAATATAAAATAAGAATATTTTTGCCTCTCGCCCACTAAAGTTTTCCAGTTGCCAGTGGCCCTCAGATGCATTCTAGCAGCTGGGCATTAGAACATAAATAGGCTTTCAAACTCTTTTTTTTTAAGCCATACCCCTTGTGCCAGGGAAGAGCACCCTACAACACTTTAGCTATCTCCTAGATTAGGTAAATCCTCACGAGCCAGATCTACTAGGCTAAAGTCTGCTTTGTTCTAGAAAACCTCTGTAAAGCAGGATATTTTCCACACGGAGAGACATGTTCTTAACTCAAGTTAAAAGTACAGTGAAGACAAAGCAGTCTGTCATCTGAACACAGGCAGAATTAAGTGTCAGGTTCTGCTATAGCCTATCTGTAGTCTAAATACAAGCCAGCAAAGTGCCTTTGTCTTCACCAAGATTTTAAGTCAAGTTTGCTAATTTGAGGTAAATTCTCCCTGCCCTCCCCACAGTGATGACATGTCCACAGACTAACAGTCTTAGGGCTGGGTTCAAAATATTTGTATGCCCTAGACTGGCATCCTACCCACTGTCAGCTCTCTCACATGCATGCAATTCACCTCTTTAATACAGATTCTCATTCATTTTTCCAACCATTTTAGAAAGCTAATAAGAGGTCTTCAAGCACTCACTTTTGCCTGTGCTGAAATTTTTTATATTTCTTCACCAAGTAAAATGTTCTAACCTATTCTCTGTTTATCCTGAAAGATGCTGGTGGTACGAAGCCAGTTAGGAACCAAAGGAGTTATTCCCATTGGCTGGTTAAAGCTATTTTTTTCTCTTTCCCATCAACTTTTAAATGTGAAAACAAGCTGGGTAAGTTTGCATAAAGGAATAAAAGTATAACATTTTACCTCCTTCAGAAGGCATCCAAAACTTTACTCAAATGAAACCTGCAATTGATCAATAAATTTGAGAAGTAGGGGTTATGTCTCATGGGGGTAGTGTCAAAAGACGTATTGCTTTTGTGCTTCCCACGCTTTCTGGCACTAGCAAGCCTTAGTAAACCTTGTGATCAAATAACCTACCTATGCATGTGCTTCTAACAGTTATAATACAAGACAGAAAATTAAACGATGGGGCAAGGAGAGAAAAACTGAAAAACAATTAAATATATACACTGCTACTGAATCCCTCTGAATCAAACAGAGAAAATGTAAAATTGTATCTTTCCAGCTATTAATGTAGGAACACTTTGCAGTTGTTTCTTTCTCTGTTTTCCCTCCACACCAGAGTAGGAGAGAGACAGACAGAGACCCTGCTCCTATGACATGTTGCCCACAGCATAGCATCATGTCCAGTGCTTAACTAGGATGCGGAAAACACATTTTCATTTCTGAAGTGATTTTTTTTTTAATGCATCTGGTCTCAATTATGAAACTATAAAGCACTATCTGGAGTTTTGTTAGTTTGGTTTCCCAACTAAGTCAATAAGGCCTCCAAAGCACCAGCATGACAGTAACTGAGCCCAACTCAACGAGCAGCAAGTCCAGTCACATTCCAGTGGAACCTTCCTACAGGTCTAGTCACTTCAGATGCAGTCGAAAGAGAATTTTCTCTCATCATTTGCATGCCATCCCCCATTTTATTTAAAAAGGAATTGAGCTACTCTAAAAGGGAGAGAGAGACAGACAGACAGAGAGAGAGACAGACAGACAGACAGAGAGACAGAGAGACCTCATTTAAATGGCAGAAACTGTCAGGGCTGCTCACAATTTAAGTTTCCGCAGTAGTTACATACTCAGAGATGGGCCCGAGGCCCCACAGAAAGTACTGATCCACCCCTTCCCAAAGTTCAAGTGCAAGCTCTGCCCCCTCTTTGTTTCTATCCATTACTTTCAAGTAGGGAGGGAGGGGGGAAAGAAATATTGCATGAAATTCCTTATGGGAAAGAAAGAGAGAGGCAAAGACTTTAAACACACTTTCTAAATCCCAGTTAGACAGTTACTAAGTCCTATTTCATTAATGAGCTTTGAAAGTTGAACAGAAAAAAAGTGCTTATGGAAGTAGTGTGGAACGTAATGGATGCCTGCACTATAAGGTGACGACAGTCTGTCCCAGGCCCTGGAAGCATGTTGGTATCCAGTCAGCAAGAAGCCTGAAGCAAAAAGCTTTGTTAAGGTCCCCCTGTGTCACGTGCAGTCACCTCACAGGCACTCACAACACAGACACAGTACCTCAGGCACCAAAGTTCTTGGTGGCTCATTTGCTTCACTGTCACTCGAACTGCTCTCACTGTCCGAGTCTGAAGAGCTGTCTGAGTCACTCGTGCTCCCTGATTCTGCACTGCTGGAATGTGCTGATGCCACGCTCTCAGGCTGTGATTGCGGGGCACTGAAAAGCAATTGGGAGATAAAATTAGAAATCAGCCATGGGTGAGGGTGTTATTTTTTCTGCAGTGACATGACAGCATTCAGAATTAAAACAACCAAGTTATGTTTTGGCATTGGTGGGGAAGGGTAGAAAGCAGAAGGAATTCATTACCATACTTAAAAGAAAAGCAGAGGATCCAAAGCCTCTTGAGATATACTCATCCCCAGCCAGATTTTGACCTGCTCCATTAACAGGTTGTAAAGATGCATTTATGGGGCTGTCTACCAAAAGCAAAAAGCTGTCAGAGGCTTTTAAAGTCTATTTCTCTGAAAAACCAATCCTCATTGGGATAGATGCCAATTACACAGCAAAAAGCAAGCAGCAGAAAATCAGTTTTCTTGAAAGGGCCCTGTCACTGCCATAGCTCCCTCCAGTTTCCTTTACTTCAGCAGCATAACTGAACTGAACTGTCAGTCAAAATAATAGCTGTGCTATGCTGGTGCATCATCCAGAACACCCATGCTGCAGTGCTCTTTCCTGAAATGTGCTTGATACAGAACTGTACAAAGCTGAGTAGAAACTGGGACTTAAAAGCACAAACACATTTTGGAAAGGGGCTAAAAGATTATGGTTCTGACTTAAGAAAGCCCTTTCCCATGTCATCATCAATTTGCCTGCAACTTAGGCAAACACTTTTCTTGTTGATCTAGACTCGTACTGTGAGAAAACTACATGTTAAGGGAACTCCCAGAGCAAAACTTATCATCAGTGCCAAAAACTAGCAAGGCCCCTGTGCAAGTCTCACTTTGTAGACTATTACCCTTTTCTTGGAGGATATAATTATGAGCCAAAAATGCGGTCTATATTTATGCACTTCCCACTTCGGAAAGTTCTGGTCTTGGATTTTTTTTTTTTTTGGGGGGGGGGAGCACATGCCCATTTATTTCACCTTGAATAATGCTGCTGATAAGCAATACCCTGATGAGTGAAAATCAGATATGTGCATTACGCATCAAGTCAGCTCAAGGAAGAAACCATATGGATACAGGACTGGGAAAAAGGCTAGATTTGGCCCATCATCTATTTATCCAACTTCAAGTCATGCTCATATTTTAGACAGCCAGATATAGAAGTTTGTATTTATGATAGAAATAAGTAGACTGGTGCTCAAAAGGTGCTGCAAGCTCTCTTTGAAACATAATAGCTTTTACTTTTTCCCATTCACTTCTGTGTACAAACATCAGTCACATTTTTCTTTCTGTTACTCTAGTTACTTTTGGAACACAGTACCTTGGAGGAGCAGATGAGGGAGGTGGCTTTTCAGTGACCTGAGTATTTACAAAAACAAAGAAGGAAAGGGGAAGAGGTTAAATTAAGGAGCTTAAAATAACAGACTGCATGATTTAAAGAGACTTCAGCATGCATAGAACATAAAATGCCTAGAACTGACATGATCATCATCGCTGTCTTCAGTATCGCTGAGCTGAAGGTCATTTTGTAGCATTCTGCAAGATAAAAAAACAAAAGGATCAGTGTAGAGAGCTGCACTTTAAAAGAGGACAGACCACAAGAACTGACTCTGCCCTTTGAAAGTTCGCTGCTCAGTTCTGACACCAGTCTTAGAAAAAAGCAGCAGCTTTTCAAGACTTAGCATATTCTACCACTCAGTTTCCTTATTACTTGAATAAACCACAAATATAAATGACATGGCTGAGTTTTCTCACCGTTTTTCCTCAGATGTCAAAGCGCTTTATCAAGCAGGACAGTATCAGCTGCTTCATTTTACAGATGGAAAAAAAATGAGGCATAGAAAGGACAAGTGACTTGCACAGGGTCACCAACCAAGACACCAGCAGATAATATTTGGGACATCCACATTTCATCCCGAAGTGCCAACCCAGTGCTCTAAATCAGCTAGTCCACATTGTTTTCCATTACAATACAGAATCAGTCTACATGCACCAGAAGCAATGCAAACGAACATATGTATTCACTTAATTTTTTCTTGGACAGTAATTGCTCCCATCACTGGACAGGATCTCTTTCTGCTGCTGTAGTCTCCAAATCAAAAACACCCAGGTAAATGCAAAGGTCAAGCTGAACTTCTACTCCTCTCTCTCACCTACACAACAATTTTGTGTTCTTGCAAACTGCACCGCAAAACGTCACAGTCGGTACAATAGAGAGATACAAGATAAAATATCAGTGGACAAATTCCACGCTAACACTGCCAGGACAGGAGAATGGCTGCTTGCATGTGTCCAATAGCAGAACTTGGTCATAGATTTATTCATAAATATGTAAATGTATACTCATAAATACATAGATGTCTACTATCACAAAGTATAATGCTCTTTGTTGTCTCACAGCTGCAAGAAGATGCTTAAAAAAATGTAATTTTAAAAGAGGGAAAAACGTGCCTTGAGGGCCCCAGAATTTTGTTTTGCTCTTAATGATGTACAAGGGCAGCTGAAAGTGCTGTAAAATATGCACACAAAAAACCCCTGCTAATTCAAAAGACAAGAGATGAGACAAAGCCAAGGAAATAAAGATTTGTAGTTGATTTAAAACTGTGTTTGTTTACAACCTTTATTCAAACCAACTGCTAATGAATATTTGGGGGGAAAAGGTCTCCTTGTTAAAGGATCCATGTGACCAACACTGGCTGATGAGAGAACTCATAGTACATTTATTGAGAGACTCCCCACAAAGTTCTCTAGCAAAGCCAAGGAAACATGGATTTGAAATTCTGGCAACTGCTTAGCATATTTTTTAAAAATCCTTAAGACAGGACTGTCAAACTCATCCAGCCTCTGCTTCAGTCAGGGTTGGACTGTGAGGTTCCTTGCAGGTAGCATCTGGACCCACTTACAACAGTGGGATTAGTGGCATGAGGGATCCAGACAGCTACTGTCTGCTCTGCTGCCAACATGCAGCCCCCAACAGGGCTCTGCACCCTGAACTCAGTGGTGGGCTCTACCCCTGCTTAACCCATAAATCCTGGATTTTCCCCCTGCAGCCTCTGCCCTGTGCTTCCCTCCCCTTCCTCCCCCCCTGCCACTTACCCTGAGTTGCAGCTTCAGCTCCTGCCCCACCCCAGGTCAGAGCACACACTGGCTCCAGCCCCTGCCTGCCCATCCAGCCCAGAAACAGCAGCAGCATCTCCAGCTCCAACCCTGGGGCCAGGTAGCAGGGGGGAAGTGTTGGGGGTTAGGCTGCTCAACTCCTCGTCCACAATGGGGGCATGAATTTAAGATGACCCTCCAAATCTATACATGGAAAATTATAGCAAAATTATAAAGTCTGCACGTGTAGAATCCAATTATTGCACGGTCAACTTAAATACAATGTCACCTTAGATTTGGACAAATTTAGTATTTGACATTTATACTCAAAAGCACTCAGGAAACACAGATTGATGCACATTTCCCCCAAAATTACTAAACCACTGAAACTACAGCTATCCTTGGGGGAAACTTGGCAGATGCTTAACAAACAGCAGCTCTACACAACAGGAAATGGACAGGAAATGAAGAATCCCAAATCTAAATGAAACTGAAGGGACAATTAGCTTGTCAGTTGGATAAGATCTATTTTAACAGTCAGACATTAACTGGCATTTATGACTGAATAGTAAACCTGGATTCCTCTCAGTGTACATTAGGTATGTCAAGAAACAGATTAAAGTACCACAATTCAAAATTTAATGAGAAAAGCTACTCCTTCCTCTTTGGTGTGTAAGCATGTTATTCCCATTAATACTACTGAGAATTGCACAAACATGATAAATGAAGAGACACTCAAGCAATTGTTTAGAGTAGAGGTCAGCAACTTTTCAGAGTCTTGGGCCAGAGCAACCTGGTTTGGGCCCAGCGCCAGATTGTGGGCAAATTCTCCCACCACCAACATACTGCTGGCTCTACAGGCTGTATACAGTTGCTCTCCACAGGCTACATCTGGCCCATAAGCCATATGCTGATGAGTCCTCATGTAGAGCGTTTTTATTTTTATTGCATGCTTCAAATTTTACAGTTTCCTCTAATAACTCCTAACAAAAATGAAACAAAAATAAATATCTCCTTTCTACTCTTTCAGCATATAACACAGCTTCCTCGTATTGTATCATGAAAAAGCACAGCTTTCAAGCTTCAGGAAACACTGTAAATGAAAAACCTTACAAAATCATTTCTGTTCTTACAGAAGCCAAGTCACCCACTCCCCATGATATCCCAGGCCTGAGTAAAGCAAGGAAGAGAGCATTAAATCTAACTGAAGTCCCCATGCTACACTACATGCCCATATCACAAATAAAACACACAAGTCGCAAGTTCCACAGGACTTGTTAGGTACCTGAGCATAGCGGCTGCCAGTGAATCAACTTCTCTTTAAGTCTCCGCTAATGAAAACAAATCCAGCTGAAATTTGACTTCAGCTTTGATGACACTAATGCTATCCTCTGAAGGAGATCTGTCAATGGACTATATCAGTAAAGCTACAAACACAGGAGGCTGTCATTCCAATACATCCAGAGAATTAATAATAGTAATCTCTGTGTTAAGTTTCCCCTCTATTGCTGAACTTGATAAAAATATTTTAAAGAAAAAATAAAAAAGAATAGAAAAATTCAAATAATGAAATCCTACAGAAGGACTTCAGATATCTATAATTAACCAGAAAGATTTATAAAAAGCGAATAAAGATTTTACACAATGGTAAAACATGCCAGTGCTACTTTGGGTCAGATTTCAGGAAGTGTTTTAAACAAAAACACACACAAAATTATCGTCTTTTGGACATGTGAAGTGGGACACTTTTTAAATAAACAATTGTTGTAGCTTCCTCAGGGGTGTTATGGGATGGTCAAAGAGAGCTACAGATACTCCCAAGATCCCTTTTTAAGATGTGGTTTGCAATTGAAAGAGTACACGTATTTTAATATATTGAGAGCAATATCTAAACAGTAATATTTATTAGCAAATTGCATTTGGCCATAAAACAAAAGGGAGCTTTCTGTGCCCCTTGGGTATTGGTTTCTTTGAGGAAAAAACCTGACTGGGTATGTCAGGCAACTGGCACTGCTAATCTGACATAGTCTTAAAGTTTCAACATGGCAGCTGAACACTGGGAATTAAAAGAACACCACTGCTTTCCATCACAGCATGAAAGCAGGAGCAGCAGACAGTAGGAAGAGGTTCAATTACAGAAAACACTATACAAGTTAGTTTTCTGTGGTGACGGTTTCCTGACATTTAATATGTGATGTTCCAGCTACACATTTGGCACCTCACCAAGTGACAAGAAAAATAAAATGGGTCAGTATATGATCCTGAACTAAAGCTTTCGGAAAGGTAAATCACATTTCTATAGATCTGTCAAAAGTACCAGTCAAAGCTTTAGAAAAAAAAAGTTCAACTGAACCAGGAACATAAATCCCACAGATCATAAATCTGTTCATCCTGACCACCAGATTTTACTACTCCATTGCACTGCTTTTACATTGGCATGATTCCGTTAACTTTGTTCTGGAATTTATGGCTACAAATAGACACCACTTATCCCAGACCAAAGTGCGATTGTTTAGACATCTATATCCCTTGTCCCAGAATAACTCTTAAAAAGTCAGTACTTTTATCTAGTGGGAAAGGTACTAACAGTTTATCTGGGGATACTGAAAAGTGTGTGAACAGTTATTACCTCTCAGAGAAGATGCAATTATGCGCCTGTATAATTTTGCACACAAAACACATGCCCACACATAACTGCATAATATTGCATACTTTAACACAGGTGGGCTCTATGCCTCCACCTCTATGGGGCTCCCAGCACTCCAGCTGGGAGCCCCATGTAGAGGCACCGAGCACAGTGGCACTTGACTGGACAGCTGGTGAGTGGGGAGGGGAGCTCCTGCCTGCCAGAGAGGAGGTGGATGTGGAGTTTGTGGGTTGGGGATCCCCCTCCCCCCATGGTGCACAGCTCCTGCTGCCAGCAGAAGCAGCAGCAGGCCCTCAGGGAACTCATGACTGCAGCAGGCAGTGGCATGCAGCTCAAGCTGAGTCCCAAGGGCTGCACATGCTGGCAGAGAGCCATCTGGGCCCGACCCACTAGTATGTGCCTTCCAACCAGACCAGACTGGCTCCATGCCAGCGTGTGGAGCTTGCAGCATAGCAGGCAGGAGCCACATGATTTGGCCTGGCCAGGCCAACTCCAGTGGGAAGCCGCATGTGGAGGCGCAGAGCCTACCCAGTCTCTCGGCATGCGATTCTCTGAGGCTCCCAGTCTGTGCGCCATCAGGCTGGGTTGGCTCTGTGCCTCCTGTGTGGCTTCCTACTAGAGTGCTAGAAGCCCCACGTGAAGGTACAGGTCTGGCCTGGCTCAATGGTGCGCTTCCAGTGCTGCAAGCCCCATATGCTGGCATGGAGCCAGCATGGTCTGGTCCAAAGGCATGTGGTAGCGGGCCAGGTAGGGCTGGTTTTATGCCACCATGTGCAGGCCCCAGGGTCTCAGT